AGTTGGCATTGCTCCTGGAAAACATGATTGTCATACTGTACTCTCACCAGTGTTTCTGAGGAAAATTTAGACTTGGTTATTTCAGATCTAATGAGTAAGCTCTTTGCTTGTCCCAGCCATTCCCTCCTCGAAAAGAGTTAGCATTCTGGACTGTACAATGGCTAAAATATCTAACAGTTATACCAACACAAATTTTGAATGCTAAAATTTTTAAGTCAAATAGTCCTCACTGAATCAAAGCATCCTCTTTTGAGCAACAACAACAACAAAAACCCATCAAAATAGTTTTTTGACATATGGGGCATTTTTATGTTGTTTTCTGAAAAATTCAAAACCACTGAAAAAAAATTTTCACCAGCTCTATACCTGAGAAGGCAGAAGAACTGAACGCATGATTGCTCCTATAATGAATATTCTTTTTTTTTCTCTAAAAGGCAAGTAAGATAACTTTGCAAATAAGATACAGTCTAGCTGCCAGTATAATTAGACTGTAGTTCCAGAGATGCACTTTCCACGTGTTTTTAAGCAAGACACTCAAACTCAGAACTGCCAAGACAGTCAGCTGCTGCTACAATAACTACTGCAGAACTTAAGAGTCTGTTCATGGCATTTACAATGTCCTTAGGTCAGAAGAGATGGGTTGTTCGTAGTGGTTGTGACACTGAATCTAGTGAAGCTAATGGGAAATTCAGAAGAGACTAGTGTTCATCCAGCCTACTATACTACTTGTCCTACTATAGGACAAGCTCTTTGTTTCTCTCCTAAGCTGTTTGGTTGGGATTTTATGGTGGTTTTTTTCTTGTTTGTTTTTGTTTGTTTGTTTGTTTGTTTGGTGGTGTTTTTTTGGTTGTTTTGGGGGGTTTTTGGACATTATTTAATATTTGCAAGGTTCTTTGAAATCTTTGCATGGAAGTACTTGGCAAAGAGTTAATACCTGTTTCTATAATCAACAGTTTTTACTTCTACTGTCCGGTATGAAAAGCTTTGCAATGGCAACAGCGCACAGTTTAAAACTAAGTAAAACTATTTTATTTTCCTTTGGAAATGTATAACTTGAGCTGAAAAAAATTAAGTATTCTCATATCTTCCTGAGCATAAAAATTAAATTACTTCCTTTACTTTCTTTTTAAAGGCTTCTTCCTTTCTAAAGAGTTTTTTCATCTCTACTCCAAAGAGTCTATACTAAAGCTAAATATAGTTAATATGCTAGTCTTAGGTCTTATTGCTTTATGATCAATGGAAGTTTAATAGGCAGACAGAGAAAAAACCATGTTCTTGCTAGCATCTTGTTTCCAGCTGCATTGCAGCCATTTAGTGTTATACAGTCAGCAATGCTGTATCTCATCATAAGCTCTGTTGGCCTTCTTAAACTGTCAGGAAAAGAAAGTGATAAAAGGATTTACAAAAATACAAGAGATAATAATAATACATAAGAATAAGATGTTCTATAAAAATCAGGGAAGTTTTTAAAGCTGTTCTGTCAGTTCATTCTTTCAGACCTGTAAAAGCTGTAGGACAGCCAGAACATCAGCACACTGCACTGCACTAATTTTGGAATCAAATGTACAAAAGAAAATGACAGAGAATGAAACACATTATGCTGTAAAATATAGCATTAAATCTCTGTTGCTCTCAATAGAAATGCAAACCCAGACAAATAACTGTATTATTAAAATACAACAACAACAAACCAAACCCAAACTCACTCACTACCAACCAACTGACCAAACAAACAGACAAACGAAACAAGCCATGTGGCAACAGGACACTGTAAGTACAAATAGATACAGAAGTTCACAGGGTCAAAAAAGGTTCCTTAAGCACATCAGCAGTTACTCTCCATGACTGCAATTAGGCAAATATTAACAATCAAATAGGCAGCATCCACACATTTCAAGGGAGGCATAGATAGATCTGTTTGCATTTTAAAGATAATGGGCAGTGTAATAATTTTGTCCTTTATGACAGTATGTACATAGTCTGGGATCTTTCAGTTGAGAGTGATGCTGATAACTCTGTCTTAAGAGCTCACTGTTTTTTCTGCTGACTGCCTTGAATTCTGACTATCTTCCACATCACAGCTTCAGAGGTGATAATGAAATGGCACCACTTCTTTCAAGGATACTAGATTTGAATGTTGTCAGCAATTGCACAAAATTAAGTTCAAGCACAAATCAATAACCTCTCCATTTGCAGTCCAAACAATACTGTCAAAATGCAGAACACAGAATAGAAGGCAGTCAAATCTGCTGAAGGTGCTATTGTGAGCTGACAGTTGATCCTCCACTAATTTGGTGTTAATGGGGATATTACAGCTGCTATCAAAAAGTACAGGAGACAAAATTTTTTTCCCTTTTTAGGGGTTGCAAGGCTTGGAACCACACACTTCTCAACTCAATGCCTCGAAATTATTCCAGGATTATTCAACTGCATGAGAATTGTTAGGCCGTTGGAAATCACATACCACACTCTGTCTTTTTAGCTTCCTTTAGTATCATCTTGCAGTGAAACCTGAATATCCTAATGAGATTAAACATAGAAGAAAGTGATAAAAATAAAATGTTGGATTAGAATTTTAGCTGAAGCTTTCTATGAGAAAGACCACACCGCTATCAGTGGCCTTTCTCTCCTCATGTGTGATCCCACGTGTTACGAGTCAAGTGTCCAAAGGAGACTCTTATCTGTTCATACTGTACTTATCCTTTTTCTCCTAAAACAGGGTCTCATTACTAAAAGAACAAGTATTCATGCCACTGATGGGGGTGTATCAACTGCCTCTGCAAGACTATATAATTTTCTCTGGTATGCAGAGCAAAATATAATGATGCTGTTTAAGATGTGAGTTTTGTATTGATAAAAAAAATAATTCTAAGCAAAAGGCAATACATTCTGTTCTAGCAAATAGGAAAAAATGCAGACTTTTAAGTGTTTTAGAATGCCATTTCTATCTCCAGCTCCAGCCTTTGTTTATTTTTTAAAGTCACTCTCTGATAAGTTTGCCTCTAATATATCTAAAAGTAGTTTTAGAATCTCATACTGTATCTTCACAGTGCATATTAGATACCGCAAGAATGCTTTTCATCTCATTTTTTCTCTAAACCCTTGAAGTCATCTCTAGCTCTGAACAATTGTGTTAGTTAGAGGGTAGTTATTCACAGAGGTGCAGAAAACCAAGCGAATCAAGAGAAATTTCTAAAACACTTTTCATTTTTATCAGTCTAGATCTCTTTGCCTTCTCAGTGCTTCAAAGATTCGTACTCAGTCTCATAAATGGTATCATAAAACATTAACAACAGTGTAAACTCTGCTGTAGGAAGATATTTTTGAGGTTGAAGTCCTGTTCCTACACACAGATATGTGTCCCAAATAAGGAAACAAAAAGAGTTTTTCTCATATCTTTCAAACCAGACTGTTCTCCTAGTAATATAACTCTAGTTCAACTTACTGCTGCTCTCCTTTTCATATAAAGGCATACTTAAGATGTCAAGGAGGTTGCTGTAAAACTGAACTGAAATCTCAGGTATTATATATGGTTATTCTTATTTTACTGTAGCAACTACTAGATGTGGTGTTGAGTGAGTGCAAATAGTAAGAAGATGGTCCTTGACCTTTTGAGCTTGTAAGAGAAGTCAAAGAGAAGAGACAAAGAATAGGTGGAAGGCCAGACAACACTATAATCAGGTATTCAGGTCAGCAGTCAGTACACTATGACTACTACCTACATTTTCCCTGGCAGTCCTGATTTGCAGGTTGAGATAATTATTGTTAATATAGAATTTGCTATCAACATTTATAATCTCTTTAAGTCCTGTTTTAAGCCCTACTGCTTATTTCTCCACGAGAAAAACAAAATCTGTCTTGATCTGCCCCATCGTATAAATGCTCTGACTTCTACCACCCTGATCTTTCAACCTCTTCTGCAGTATATGGAAAGAAACCAGAGAAGAGAAGCAAGTTTTGCTAAAGGATATGCTAAGATCTTCATACAGAAAATAAAGGTAGAATTAGATATTTGACATGAACAAGCATGACAGTTTCAACACAATAGTTTGGAAAATTCTGCTTCCTGGTTGCAGAATTAATTGTGACAAAATAGATTACTCCTGGATACTCTGGAATGAACCCACCAATCCTTTTAATCTGCCTAAAATTCCACAGAAAAATGCACTGCCCGTGATTACCACTTACAATGTCACCACTTTGAACTGGCTGGTTTATCTCTGCCCATCATATCAAGCAGCAACCAACATTTAGTCCTCAGACTTTGGAATACAAACAGCTCTGATCCAGCACGTGTCACAGGTTTTCTCTCACGCATATTTTTATCACTATAGTTTCACTAACTGAAATCTTCACTGTTACTTTCATTAGCTTTCTTCCATTTTTATGTCTAATTTAGCCTGAGATCTGCTTTCCCAGCCCTTATTAAGCCATATTGGACAGATTCTGGTCCTTTTTTCATTCAACAGACCCACTCCTTCCTAAGGACTGCTATTTGTAGGGAGGAAATTATGTGCATTCCCAAATTTGTATTTGGACAAATGTGTTGTAAGCAACAATCACCCCTTCCTTTGGAATTATGATGAGGTTTTTTTTATTGTGTTTATTGATCTAGAATAAACAGTTTTCATTCATCATTATGTAGCAGCATTTTTCCTGAACACTGATAAATACTATTGTCATCATAAATATCTCTCCTGGCAAAAGGATTTCCATGGCTCCAATGTCAGAGAGAGACAGTTATGAAAAGTTATAAGAAAGTTTTGGCTCACCAAGGTAAGGATTCATTAACCTGGAGCTATCAAATACATGGTAACAGGTACTTATGCTAGACTCGCCTTTTATATCCAAAATATTGCGTAAATGCTGAATTGCATACAATCTCAACAAAAACTGTCTCTGCATGAGCTTTGGCTCATGTACCCTCATTTATACCATGGAATGAACAGAAACCAGCTATTCCTATTAATATGTATAGAAAAAGAATGCAGAGACAATACCTGCACAAACCCACACATCATATAGTCCTCAAACAAAGGGAGACTAGGGCGGTCTTCTCGATAAATTGTGACTTTGTAGCTGCTTACAACCTCAGGGCTGGGCTGCGAATCATCCGTTAAGACAATGATGACTTTGTTCAGTCCAAGGCCAAGGGGGTAGTTAGCAATGCTGTATGACAAAAAATGAAACAAGTGCAATAAACACTAAAGAAACAAAGATGTATACTCTTTTACCTATGGCTGCTAAATTTTACTTGCTCCTAGAGGCTGCTATTTCTGACATTTTCTTTCTCTTACAAAATACATGAACTTTTAAATAAAAACAGTGTGAAATAGGATTTGTAAGTATTTTGTCTTCTATCAAGAAGACAAAATATTGAGATTTAGTGAAAACAGTGGCAGTGGCAAATATTCTGACATGAAATCTGTGAATGAAATCATTAGGGACAATAATTCCTGGCAGGCCCAAATTTGTGATTAAGTCAGCAGTGAGACAAATACAATAGAAGTGTAGCTAGCTGCTGAAATTGTCCACTAGCAAAATGTGATGGATTCCTGGACAAACTGCTCAGAGTGACAAACCAGAGCAAAGCTGATCTGTGCTCTTCTTCCTTTAGCAGGGAAATAAATGATGAAAAATAAATAAATGCTGAACCTGCACATGCAGAACTTTTCAGTGTAAAGAGCATCTTGTTATTCTTTTTCATTCTACAGAAAGGAAAAAATCTTTGAGGTTTTCATATATATTCACGTTGACTTCCAAGGCAGTTAACATTAAAAAATAAAATGTTGGGGGGAAGAATATAATAACAGTTTCTTTTGAAATGATAAATCAAGACTGATTTCTTATTGAAAATACAGGAAACATATTGCAGTAACAACTGCACAGATTTTCTGGTTAGTAGCAGACATTCTAGGTCAAAGTATCTGCTTCACTGTCAGCCAAAAGGTGGTGTTCTGGCTAAGCACTTCATGCCATGAAGCAAAGTTACCTCTGAAATGGTTAAGATTTTTTCTTCCCAAGTAAATCACTGCCCCTGTTCTTCTGTTTATCCACTCACTAATGGCTAGTAAGTAAATAAGCCAGTTCTCTGGTTCTGAGGTACCTGACCCAGATAAATAAACAGTTTTTATTCCTCCCAACCTTAAAAACCAGGTCATACCCAAAATTCCTATTGGTATTGCCCCTGGTACATGATGTTGTCTCTGACAGAGCTGGTTGAGAAAGCCCAGACTGTGCCAGGGTTCATAGCAGCAATTAAACATCATAGTTTATTGTGGGTCAGTGCTCAAACACAATGTTTAGTGATGACTATGCTCTCTCCTCTATCATCTAGCTTTATAGTTCTCTAAATGATCACATAAGCTGGGACTCTTGTGGATGACAAGATGACCCACTTAGTGGATGAGAGAAAGGCTGTGATTGCTGCCTACCTAGACTTTAGTGAAGCCCTTGGATTTGTTTCCCACAGCATTCTTCTGGAGAAAACTGTCTGCTCACACCTTACGTTCACATACATTTTTCTGGGTAAAAAAACAGCTGGATGGCCAAACCAATCATATGGGCATGAAAATTGAGGGCACCCTCAGTCAGTTTGCAGATAACACTAAGCTGGGTGGGAGTGTTGATCTGATGGAGAGGAAGAAGGCTTTGCAGAGGGATCTGGATAGGCTGGATGGAAGGGCTGAGACCAAGTGTATAGGTTCAACAAGGACAAGTTCCAGGTCCTGCACTTGGGTTACAACAACCCCAGGCAGAGCTACAGGCTGTGGGCAAAGTGGCTGCAAATCTGCCTGGTAGAAAAGGACCTGAGGATGCTGGTCAAGAGCTGCTAAACATGACCCAGCATGTGCCCAGGTGGCCGAGAAGGCCAATGGCATTCTGTCCTGTATTAAGAATAATGTGGCCAGCAGGACCAGGGCAATGACTACCCCATGTACTTGGCACTGGTGAGACCACACCTCAAATCCTGTGTTCACTTTTGGGCGCTTCATTACAAGAAAGACATTGAGTGGCAGGAGCACATCCAGAGAAGGAAGGAAGCAAGGTGAAGGTACTGGAGCAGAAGTCTGATGAGGAGTAGCTGAGGGAGCAGGGGGTATTTATTCCGGAGAAAAGGAGGCTGAGAGGAGACCATGTAACTCTTGACAACTGCTGAACAGGAGGTTGTAGAAGGTGGGAGTCAGTCTCCTCTCAAGCAAGAGGACAAAAGGAAATGACTTTAAGTTGCACTAGGGGAGGTTTAGGTTAATATTAGGAAGAATTTCTTGACTGAAAGGGTTATCAAGCACTGGAACAGGCTGCCCAGGGAAGTGGATGTGTCAGCATCCTGGGAGCAGCTTAAAAGCCCTGTAGATGTGGCACTTAGGGATGTGGCTTAGTGGTGGGCTTGGAAATGCTGGGCTAACAGTTGGACATGATGATCTTAAGGGTCCTTTTCAATGTGACTTCTGTGATTCTATGACAATCCCTTTAAATACAACTATGACAAAAATGGATCATTCTGAGTTAGTAAACTTGAACTTATTTCTTCTTTTGAAGCTAGCTGCCCTATTTTGGCCCATGTAAACAAACCAAGCCCAGCAGGGCAGTAGATTAGGGCACTATGCAAAATTAACACCTGGGTACAAAAGCTTGAATTCTCTGTCATCTACTGGGTGTAATGTAGTGATAGTCTTTTCTCAACCAGCTTTGATGCTGTCAGTGACTGCAGAAGCTGGGTGAGATATTGGAGCTGTACATTCCATTAAGCTAGGGTTAATTATGGTTTGAGAACAACATATGACCATTGCCTTCAGGATGCTGGAAATAAATAAAAGTTTCAGTGCTGAACCCCCTCTGATTATCCTGTGACTAATCTATTTGTGTTCTGGGTTTTTGGAAAAAAAAAATCTGGAATATTCTGACATAATTTCAAAATTAAGTTTTAACACTCATATTTTGTTGCTCATACCTTGGCCCTTTCTTGTCATCGAGGTGTACATGGCACTGACAGTTAGAGGGTTCTGCTCCTATCTTCACTGTCACCATGTCAAATGGCACTTCTGCATAGTATTCTCTGATCCTTGGGTTAAACTGAGGATTCAAATCCAGCTGTGGACTGGTGAAGATCTGTCTGATATGAGATAGGGTATCTTTATCTGTTCCAAGAAGACATCAAAGAAAAAAAATGTGAAATGTATGAACATTTTGGAACAACATGCAACTTCTGGCAGATTGATACCATGTACAGTGGCAAGATATTTAATGCCTACTGACTTTGAGGCTCATAATTCTGCTGCAAAGTTTTAACGGAGTTTGTAACGGCACTTGAGAGAAATCTGTAGGCCTTGGAGGGATTTTAAACATTCAGTGTCCAATCACTTTAGTCTTAGTCGCAGAACTCAAAGCCTGGGTAAGCCTTTGAAAATGGAAGGATTAAGTCTGGGAGATCTGTCTCTAGTTAGTTAACTGAAACTTAAAGAAGAGGTAGGCCAAATTTCATAACCTGCTTAGGTACCAGGCTGTGTACAGGGTTTATGTACAAGTGTAATTTCCAATAAAAATCAAAATAAGTTAGACATACTGTTCATAAGAACAAGTCACATGGAGATATCAAGACCCATGGGGTCATTTGCAGTACAGCTGGAATGTTTTATTAAAATTCCTATATCAACAAATTCCAGCTCCTTTCCTTGTATATGAAATCTCCACAATCAAATCCTATTTGCTCAAATGTGTCCTTTACTTCATAGTGTTTGCCAAATTACTCATGAGAATAATTATTTGTTGGCAACCTACTTATCGCAAATATTTTAATCCAGCCTATTGGATTCAGATTTACAGTACAATACATTCACAACTGCTTTACACATGTATTCATTAGTACATGTTTTAAATTGGTATTTCAGAAAATATTACAGACAGGAAACTCCTTTACTATAATATCTGAAAAATCTTGTGACTTAAAAGAGTCAAAAATGATGCAAATATTTTTATTTCTACCTTGAAATATCTGCCCTGAGAAACTAAACAGGGTAATTTGAGAACTCTCTTGCATGGATTAAAACTTAATGGAAGATATTCCAACGGAAGAACAGAATTTGGGCTAGCTTTGTAAGGGAATAGAGTCTCACACATTGACACACAGAAGGTATTTTTAAAAAACTCTAGAGATGAATATAAACATTTCTCCATATTCTGTGTGCTTTACTTAGAATTTTTTTCTCACTACTAGCTTAAAAATTAGGAGGAATTTCAAAGTAAAACTAATTGAAGTATTTTTTTAATAAAGGATCATGCAATTAGAATGGTGATGCCAGTCAGGCGGCCCAGGAGTATTTCTGGCCTCTATCTGGCACAACAATAGTTCCTGGAGGCAGCATGAGATCAACAACAGAAGGGACATGAGGCTCAATGTGTAGCAAAACCTTTCCACCATACAGACATGGCTTCACATTTACAAACGTGCTTCCCAGATAATTTGGGAATGAGGCAACAGAAAGCATTGCTACCACCAAAGAAAAACGTATTTTACATCTTTACATATCTTTAAAAAAACTTTAAATATTCCTACAAGCAGATATTTTAGAAAAACTTCTCATCTCTTAAGCAGCTCCTTAATACTCCATTATCAAGCTGAAGACAAAGCTTTAAACAAAGCTGATTAAACTCCAGATAAGTTTAAAGGTTGTTCCACAAGAACAAATATAAGCTGAGGTTATTGGAAAGAGGAAGGCAAAAGTCTATTGAAATGTGACAAGGGATCAATGAATGCTGGAATACTCACGTTATTATGCACATGCAGCAATGTTTAATTTTGGTTTTGAGGCTTATTTAACATAATAGCCCATTTACTGTGTGTTTTATAAACATTCTTGATACTTAAAATCCTTTTCTTTCTCAGTAAGAACTACAGATACTCTATTCACTTAGAGATTATGTAGAGAAACCCAAGAAACCTTTTCAATAATTTTTTTCCCCTCTGTGGTCTAGAAAGACCTTTACTTACCATAACTGCATTGTCTTTCTCCAGTCTTACTGGGATAATGCAATGCTGAAAGATAAACAGAAACACCTAATACTTGTCTGTTCTCACCCAGATTACAGTCCCATCAGAGAAGCAACCATGTTTTACTTTTAAGAGACACATTGTACTTTTATTCTTTACTGTGCGAGATCTTTACTTCAGGCTTGCAAATGCTCCTTATGGGCTCCATGTAGCAACTTACATAAGATAAGAAAGAAATTGGTCTTTTATATGTAGTAAGTTAAGGTTTTCCAGCTGGAATGCAAGGAAATGTGATCTAAACCCACATGTTATCAAAAATAATACAAATAAGAAAAACATACTGTATATAAGATATCTTACTCGGAACCCTTACCTTCATGATTCTTCCTGAAGTCAGAAGTATAATTCTGCTTAGGACTCATATTTTCTTGGGAAAGTTGCCTGTCAATTCAATAGCAGACATATTTCTACATGAATGGGAGGAACAGAAACAGTGAAATATTTTGCAAAAATTTCTATATGGTACCCCAGGGCACATGGTATTTTACTATTGTTCATAGAAAAATGAACTTTATGGATTCATATTCCCAGCATTAGAGATATTACCTGAGTGAATGCAACAGAAAAAGACACACATTCCATAATACATGGCAGCACATCACATCGATAGAAAAAAAGGAAATAAATTCCAAAACATATTTGCATTGCTGGGAAAATGAAGAGTGGATATAGCCAAGAAGAAAATAAACCAAACCATATCTCTTAACTGCTTCTATGATAGTTTTTTTGCATATACTTGAGATTAAAGCTAAATTTTGTTCAAAAACAATTAAAGAAAAATGAAGGCATATCTCCAGGGGATTATCTGTACTTATATTAGCATGAATTCCTAAAATGGAACCTCTATGTGTTTTGCTTTGTTTGCAAATTCAAAACAAATCCAGTGTTTGTGAGTGTGTGTATGTGTGCGTGTGTAAAATCTTTGTGAAAATGAGTCAATTGCAACAAATAATCAACATGCCAGTGGTGTCCATATTATGAACTCTGAGGATTTTTTTCTTTCAAGTAGAATTTTGGTAGCATGGTAGAAAAAAGGGAGTAGGCTTCTCTTCAATCCAACCCTCTGGCTGATAAGATCTTTTTGGAGGTCCGTTAGTATTTCTTGAAGATTTCACTGGTTTTCCTATTAGTGTTTCCTTTAGAAGTTCTCATAATGCAGCTTCTTCCTGGGTAGTGCAATTTGGACTTTGAAGGACACAAAGCCACTGTTTGTGCCAAGGAAGGGAGGTGGCAATATCGTTCTGTGCAATCATCCATCAGCGATGTTTCAACAGCAGCTTCTAAAAGCAGTATAGAGGTCAATCATGGAAAAGGTGATAAAACAAATTTCTACATTAACTCAATGAGATAAGGAAAGAAGCAGCTGGCAGATCTTTATGTCCTTGTATGTGCAGGAAAACGTAGTTCTAGGCTAGCTAGACAACACCCTAATTTCATGCAAATTCATTACCTACTTCAAAGGAGGCACTTAAACTCTTGGAGAGCTTGCTTTCCAAGTTGTAAGTAATTTTGCACTCCTTTTTCTGCTTGTCAAGGATGTAACAGCTAACATCTGTCAAATACTGCTGCATATAGGTAAAGCCTTATAAAAAAAAGGCCTTGTTACTCTTGTAAAATCATGGCTCAGGCCTGCTACTTCAGCTAAGTAGAAGAGGACCATGGGAAAGTGACTCAGCTGAATTAGAGGTAGAAAACAAGTCATACAACTATTAAGTGTTCCCATCATGGTATATGGTGGTTGGTTGGATTATGTTTGTTATGACTTAAAACTAGGATACTGATAAAGGCTTGGCTGCTTAAAAAGGCCTAGTTTATGCAATAAAACAGATCTCCTTTGCACCTGCCTAGGGATTCTGCATTGCTTTGCTTTGTACACCTGGTGCCCAAACAAAATACATTTTTTCTCTCCGCTGTCTCTTTTTGCTTGCCTGGTCCCAAACCCTGTTTTACAGTGAAAGCAGCGTGTAAAAGCAGCACTCTATAAAATGACAGACCTTGGTTTTAGTCAGAGAACACCTCAGGAGTGTTATCTTTGTGCTGGCAGCCACCAAAACTACAAGGTCCCTGCTCACAAAGGAACAGCATGACCTGTATGAATCTCAAATCCGTAGAGACTGCAATTAACATCAGACAGCATTAAGAGAAATATAATAACTATATCTGATTAGAGCCGGGTAGCAAAATGTAATATTTAGAAATCATATTAGAGAGAGATACTCCGATTACAATATAGCCAGCAGGACTGGGCAGTAACTGTCCCCCTAAACTCAGCACTGGTGAGGCCACACCTGGAATCTTATGTTCAGTTTTGGCTTCTCACTACATGAAAGACATTGAGGTACTGAAGCATGTCGAGAGGATAATGAAGCTGGAGAAGGGGCTGGAGTACAAGCCTTATGAGGTGTGGCTCAGTGAGGTGAGGGTGTTTAGCCTGGAGAAAAAGAGGCACAGGGGAGACCTTACTGTTCTCTACAACTCCCTGAAACAAGGTTGTAGCCAGGTGGAGTCATTCTCCCACATACTAAGTGACAGGATGAGAGTAACCTTTCCAATATAAATGACTCCACGGTTCAATGATTTATCTCTGCTGCAGCCTGAGCTTTTTAATCATCAGCCCCATGAAGCTTTGTCCAAGCTCCTTGCAATGAGCAGACTGAGATACGATGCAGTTATGAAGTTCCTCCTAATACACAGGACTTTGCAGACTTCTTTCCTTCACATGTTGTTACTCAAGACAGGACCTTCATCTGTTTGAGTGGCTCCCTGTTTACTTAAGTATCTTGGAGGTGTCAAGTGCAAATGTGGTTTTTGTGTACACACTTTGCAGTTAGCTCTAATGAAATTAATGTCTGTATGTCAGTACCCTTGGTGAGTGCATGCTTGTGAATGTACCTTTGAAAAGATTCCCAATGTGTACATTACAAACTGTTGACTGTAACTTGTTCTTTAGGAATCTCTCTGATTCAGCAGACAAGAAAGGCAAAGGATTGACAGTAGCAATATTAATATAGTCTAGTTGTCTATGCAATCAGACATAAGCAATGAAGGACATGTAGAAATAGAATATTTCACAAGATTAAAATATAAAAAGAAAAAAAAACTAGTCTCTTTTGGTGTCTCTGATGGATACGTTAGTTGTGAATGGTGAAACTTTTAATGGGTCATAAACTCAAGATTGAGACCATATTTCAATATTCAGTAGAGTTATCAATTTTCTTTCTTTACATGATGTTATATAGCTCTCTCTTCAAAATAAGCTCTCTATTTTGTAGAGTGTTTGTTTCGCTTCAGTCTCAGAGTTTCCATGAGGGCATTTGGGTCCTTAAATTAAATACCTTGTGCTGATCTTCAGAAGTGAAATAAAAAAATTCAGATGCAAGAGTGAGATTAATTTCCTGGCACTTCATCCCAATTATCTTGTTTCCTCCTTCCTTCTGTCTCTCACTCTTCCCATTCCAGGTCAGTGATCTTAGCCTTGTCTTCCTTTGTCATTGCCTTTTTCTGTCCCATAGTCCAAAACATGCTAATTTCTCAGACTTCCCAGGTAATTGACATGACCAAGTTAAATTCCAAAAAAGTATTTTCAGCCCAAATTCAGTCTGAGGGCTGCTGTTTCCAGTTTGAACTAAAAAGGAAGGGGCTTGCATATGAAAAGCTAGAACCACTTTTACAAATATATCAGTTGATTTAAAAAAAAACATTTGCAGTTCTTTGACCTGCTTAGGCTTTTGTCTTCTGCAGATACAGAAGGGTTAGCTTGACTCACTAATCTGATTCTTCCATGCTACCTGACATAGCCAAATATATTTTCAATGACACCTCATTGCCCCTATTCCAAAAGACAGCAGTTAGGTATGTCCTAGTCATGTAATGAGTATAAACTGCACAGAGTTGAAAAAAGTCCATAAAAATGCTGAATTTTTTTTCAGAGTACATGTTACTTGTAATATCTTATACCAATGCATCTGAGTTGGTAATTTTCACCTATGCTGTAATTATTTCATTATAATTTGAGATGAGTTTCTAGAATTCTTCTTACTTCTCCTGTAGAAGGAATTTAGAGAGTTCACTAATACCATTTAAGGTTTCAACCCTAGTCATACAGATGGAATGAGTTAAAATATGTAGACTAGGAAACATCTTTATCCTGCCTTCATCCTATGGAGTCATCATTGGTAAACTAAGTAATTTTACAAGACCTCAGTCAGAAGTCACTGTTTTTCCCATATCTTTCTTGTCTGTTTGGACAGTCAGTTATGGAATCACTAGATTTGATAAATGGAAATACCAGTTTTCCACAGTCAGAGAAATAAGAACTGTTAAATAAATCGACTGAACAACCTGGCTTTAACTGAAGAAATTCAGGAAAAGTGTTCTTATATACAAACGCATCAAAGCTGGGGAAACAAAAAAAAAGATTAATCAAAGCTCAAAGAGAATGCATACCTAAGTTATTTGGGGAGTAAGTACAACTAAGCTCTTCTTTGCAATTAAGTATAATCACATGCATATCTGACACATGCATCAGGCTCGCATGCAGCTAAAGGAGTGGAAGATTCTGATTTAGCAATGTCAAAGGACATAGTTTTTTATACAGAGAATGAAGACATTGGCGTTATTAGCTTTGCCACTGCAGAAAAATACAGAGCAAAGAAGCAGATTGGCCAATGCCCTGGAGAAAGGTCATGGTACTTCTGCATATTTATACATATACAATAATGTTGAGCTTGAAGGAAAAAAAAAAGAGGCCAAGGGGCTTGCTCAAAGTGAGTGAGTGGCACAGCTCAGATTAGAACAGAAAGCTCCTAAAGGCTGGTATGCTTTGATATGCAAACCTAAATATTTCTGCAAAAGGGCAAGGGCTTGCATATGAATGCAAGCAGCTGCATCTTTGAGCTCCTTGTCACAGAGTGATCTGAGTGGTCGGCAGTAACAACAATAATTTAGCACTTTTATGGAAGTTCCCCTTTACAGTAAAGCAAGCAAACATACAGATAATTATTGATTTGCTGAAAGCCATACCCAATTCTATGAGGAACAAAATTAAAACTTAAGAAATCTTACAGATGCCTTATATACTCACTACAGCATTTTCCCAGCAAAATGTGCGAACTAATATCATTCACACATTCATGAGCCTGCATTTCCAAGTGCTTGTTGGTAAATCATAAATGTCAGTAGTCAGTTTGGCATACATGTATATATATCATTAGCCAAGAGATAATGAAAACAGAAAACACATTTTGAAAAAATTTATACTAAACATACAGTATACTATAGGTTTTTTCCTTCCTTCCTTCCTTCCTTCCTTCCTTCCTTCCTTCCTTCCTTCCTTCCTTCCTTCCTTCCTT